CGGCCTCTAGATCCAGGGTCTCTGACGCACGAGGCAAAAACTACCTGCAGCACACTCAAAACGACAACCAAGACTGGGGCATAGCTTTTTAGCTCAGCTATTTTTTCTAGTGTATGTTGTATTTACTTTCTTGGATTTTATAATTCTTTTTTATAATTCGGGAGATTAATATTATTTCTATATTATCTTCTGCATTTTGTTTAGTTCATCGCATGTGCTGCCTTTCTTCCTACTTTAATCTCTCTCTCCCTTCAATCGTACTCATCTCTTTTTTCCCTTTTCCCTTTTCCCTCTTCTCTTTTCCTTTGACATTGAAGGAAGCATTGTCTCCTTGACATTCGTTAAGACTTGCATTCACTAAGCCTGCCGAGGCAATTGACCACCGGACTGGGTCAATAGGTATAGCGCATTGAATGCTTATACCTCCGCATCTTCAAAACGAAGAGAATCCCCCCTGAAAATAGTCAGAGCTACGTGGGGATCAAGTTTCACATCATGGCATTCCCGTTTCTGCGAGCATTCGTCACACTCTTGTAAGTATAGATTGGGAGCTCAATCAGACCACTAGCTAACGAGCAACCAGTCTCTATCGCTACACCCGACTCGTGTTCAACCTGTTTTCCTTTTGGACATTCAAGCCAATCCCACCACCGGAGAATCCCAAATTGACATCCCAAGATGTAACGGTGATCATTCCGTCGTTGGAGGGTTGTGGCGATGAGCTGGTGGAGACCATCCGGACAATTCTCGACAATCAGCCGTTCGAATTGCTCCTGGTGACAATCGAGGCCAATCGCATCAAGGCCCAGCAGATGCTGAATGCTATGCCAGCATCAAAATCTCGAATTCGTTTGTTTACAGTGGAGCACCCCAATAAGCGCCGTCAAATGACCGAAGCTATTCCCGAGGTCCGAACTGCCATTACCCTTCTCGCAGATGACGATGTGAGCTGGCCGCGGACTCTCCTCCCCTGGATTCTGGCGCCCTTTGAAAAGGACGAGAAATACGGTGGGGTGGTGACCTGCCAGCGATTGCGCCGGGCCACTGCGCCGAGCCTCTCACAGCGACTCTGGGGCTTCTTGGGCGCTTTGTACCTGGAACGACGCAACTTTGACTGCGGCGCGACGACTAATGTGGACGGTGGACTCCCCTGCATGTCGGGACGAACGGTTGCGTATCGGACGCGAATTCTGCAGAATGAGGCCTTTACCTATGCCTTCACCAATGAGGAGTGGTGGTGGGGGAAGTACCAACTCAATGCCGACGATGATAACTTTATCACTCGTTGGATGGTCTCGCACGGATGGGAAACTTATATGCAGTACCACCCAGAGGCGGAGGTGCTGACAACTCTCGAGGACAACCCTCGTTTCTTGAAGCAATGCGCCCGCTGGTCCAGAAGTAATTGGCGGAGCAATTTGACTTCGATGTTTCACGAGAAGCACATTTGGCAGTGAGTGCAACTTTTCCTTTCTTTCCTCTTGAATTGTCTTACCTTGACTCTCTTTTCCTTTTTCCCCTCCCTTTGTTTGTTTTTCTCTTTGATCGGGTCAAAAAGAGTCTTTTTGGTCCGAGTCTTGGTGTGACATTGGAAACAAAGAAACCACTTGGGCAGAATATGCAGAACAGAGCTAACATTTCTATAGTCGTCAGCCCTGGAGCGCCTATGCCGTTCATTTGACCACGTTATCGCCACCTGCCTTTTTGGGCGACATTCTACTGGTCTGGTTGTGCCACAAGGCCACTGGATCGTGGGGAGAGTCCTTGCACGATCAATCCATGACTATGCTCTACCTCTGGATCTTCACTAGCAAGTGGATTAAGCTGCTGGGCCATTACCTTCGCTATCCAGTTGATGTGCTGTTGCTACCAGTATCCATCATTTTCGGTTATTTCCACGGCGCAATCAAGATGTACGCCGTAATGACATTGAATGTGGTATGTTTAATTCTTTCATCTTTTGATTCTTTTCATATTTCGCATTTCCTTTTCCTTTTTCCTTTTTCCTTATCTGGTGCATATACGGCAAGTGTATCCAAGCGTAGCCCCTCTCCTATGACAACTCAGCATCACAGCGCTTTGATCGTCTCCTTGCAGCTCTGTTTACCCACTATTCTCCTATTTCCCCGAATTATTTGAAATTGCACAGCTCTTTGCCGTTCTGATTTGATCTGCCTTTTTTAAATTGACTATCCGAGAGCTGGTCTAACTTTGCCTTTTTTTTTCACAGACAACATGGGGTAGCCGTGATGGCGCCGATGATTATGATGCCGAGCGTATGAAGAAGCGGACGGATGCCGATCGAATGAAGCAACCGTACTATCCGCAATATCTCATTAAATGAGTTCTTCGATTTTCTATTTTTTTTTTTACCGAAGATCCATTTCCTGTTCGCTTTCGGGGATTGGTCTACCATGTCCGATTGTACAACAGGGGAGAACTTCTAGCCCATTGACTTGGCCCTTTATATCATGACGAAACGCCGTGACGACACCTATGCTTTGTTTTGTTCTAGATCTGCCCTGGTTTTTCCTTTTTTTTGTCAACCCTGGCCATTCCGCCTACCCAAGTCCTCGAGAGTACGAGCTTCGAAGTGGTCATGCTCTTCTCCCTCCAACGAACCAATGGGTATGGCGTCTTGACTTCTTCTGCCCAATGTTTTTCTTTTCTTCGCACATGGTTGCCTGGTTATCAAAAACAAAATGGTGGTCTCGATCGAGGCCTTTTCCCCTTCTCTTCTTGTAAATTACAAAAGCATGGGCGGATCTCGTTTTGGGAATGTTCTGTGACTCTTTGCGTTTCAGTTTGCTTTTCAGCTTTGATTCCCCTGAGTTTTTCTGTGAGAGCTCTTTGTCTACTCTTTTTTAGATGCAAGGTGGTATTCTGGAACTTCGGTTGTTTCTCTCCTGTTTTGCTTTCCCAAACTGCAGATAATTTCTAATTGATTGGAATATACTCCGTACGCATACCTGTCCAGAGATATAGGAAAATATAGCCCTAAAGTTACATAGGTTATACCTCGGCGAAATAATGGATGCATCCTGTCATAGTTCCTACTTCTGGTGCCATGCAGATGACTCGGTCTAGAACCAACCGAAAGAGGGTTGAATGTAAGAAAATAGTGTCAAAATAAGCTGATCATTGACATAGGTACGGAGTATATAATATTCATGTAAGACAAGGCATCCCGTTCGGATTAAGATGTGGCGTGGCGAGCCAAGACTTTTCGGAAATGTTCGAGTTCCAAACAACTCCAACTTCGAATCCAGGAACCAATTGTCCCTCCAACCCGCGCTTTCCCTAATATAATCCATTTTCAAGGGCCTGGTACTTTGTTCAAGATGGTCGCTTTCGCTCGCGCTGCGCTGCCTTCGCAGCTATCCGCCGTCGCCCGTCCAGTCTCGTTATGCCGACGCATCCACTCGTCTCCCTTCAGATCAGCTGTTGCACACCCAATCACTGCTCACGGCCCTCCTCCTAAAGCCCCAGAGCTCAAGGAAAAGTCAAAACCGAAGGAGGCGGAGCTCCCAGCCCCTGAGGGTGAAGGATCGCGATACAACCTCACCGCTGCGTTGAGGAAGCGGTTTTGGAAAGATGTCCATGTGCATGGAAAGTCAGGTATGAACGATAAGGGCATTGGCTGTCTTTCTCATTGATTGATCCCGTCCTTCGGTGAATACTCATCAGCTAACCCATATCTAGACGAATATCAAGTCCTGCTGGACAAGCGACCCGTCCGAACCCCGACGAAAGAAGTCCTTACTATTCCCTCCACAAAGCCCCACCTAGCCCACGCTATTGCACTGGAGTGGGATGTGATGGCCTCCGCCCAGGAGGCTCTTAAAAGCCACCTCATCCCTATGACCTCCCTCGCAGCCCGCGCCACCGATATCGCCCGTGAAGATGCCGAGGGCAAAAACACCACCAGAAAACAGATTCTCACAACCGCCATGCGTTACCTAGATACTGATACTCTACTCTGCTGGGAGCCCGAGCGAGAAATGCACGTGTTGGAGCGGACGGCGGCCGATGGAACGCCCATCGAGAGTCTTCGCCAGATTCAAACGAGAATTGCGGGCAACGTCATGAGCTTTTTGTCCACCAAGGTCTGGCCTGGCCTTGAAATCATCCCTATCCTTGATGCCAATAGCATCCTTCCTCTCGCCCAGCCGAAGGGTACGAAAGACAGTATCGGCACTTGGGTTTCGGGACTGTCTGCGTATGATCTGGCCGGTCTGGAGCGCGCAATCATTGCTTCCAAGAGTCTTCTCATTGCGGTGCGCCTGGTGGTGGAATGGAGTGAGAACTTCCGCCATCTTCAGCGACCCGAGACGAAGAGGTTCGGTATTGAGGAGGCGGCTGAGGCGTCGAGTCTGGAGGTGACCTGGCAGACTAATCAATGGGGTGAGGTAGAGGATACTCACGATGTTGGCAAGGAAGACTTGAAGCGACAGTTGGGTAGTGTTGTGATCTTGGTTAGTGGAGAGACTCGATAAGCTACGAGTGTATATTAGGTATACTGTATGATAGATATAGATGGCATGACCATGCTTTGTATAAATGCGTGTATTACAATGAAGACTACCATGAGTTCCACCATATTCTGTACAAATAAATTGGTAACGTCTTGGGACAGCGGTTTTACTAGACAATGTAGATATCGGGTAGGGCTTAGTATGGTAGGAACGGCAGATTTTGGGTTTTTCGCTAAGGTTAACCAGCTGCCATGAATCATTTATAATTATACGTATGTAGCCTCTTAAAAGTCCAGAAAAATCTCGTATCAAAGGTCCCGTACTAACAATATTTGGGGATAATTAGCGGTTATATTTAAAAGACTTCAGAAAAGACCTCTAGAAAGATGATAACAAAGTGGCTTTTATGCAGAGCTAGACTTTACATTTATGACATATTACTTACACCTACTAGGTATGAATCGACTTACCTTTTGACCAACAACTTGGCCCTTCTTGGTCGTTTTTTTCTTTAGTCCCCTCACCATGTCGGACGATACCCCTAGGCCATGCTGGTTTGTCACAGAACTATCATGCGGAGAGCTCGGAAATCACGAGGCTTTCAAAGACTACCTCGTGTACATCTCACAAGTCAAGGATAATCATGAATTTGTCTTCCTTGATGTGCCCCCTGGTTGGGTAGAGAGTGCGTTCTTGCTCCTTAATGAGGTTATGTCTGCTCGGTAAGTCCTATATCTACGCCTACCTTATACAGTCTCACTAATCTTAGCATTACTAGCAAGATCTATGATAGCACGAAAAGCGTGCTAAGGATACTCGCCATACCCACAGCGATTCAAAACTGCATCCAACCGTAGTTGTACCAGCAATCGTCCATCTGGGGCAGAAATGGGGGCATCACGCCAGACGAAGAGGGAATGGTCCACGGAGAAGTTGGCACGAGTAAGTTATGTTTTACCTTCTCGGTGGGTGCTTGAGGCTAATGAACACAGCTCTTCAGTTCCCTAGTGGTCCGTACATAAATTCGAGGATGGAGCCGGACTTCTTCTTCATACTCCATGGCTGTACTTTTCCAACAGTCGCTGTGGAATGCGGATGGAGTGAAACTATGCAACGACTACATGACGATTTGAACCTCCTGCTAGTGGGAGGTGCCGGTAGTGTAAAGGTTGTGATCATTGTACAATGGTCAAAGCTCACAGGGAATCGTGTTTCCGGCGTTGCTGAGCTCTATATGTGCAACCGATACGGTATTCCGATATGTAGGCAACGTGAGGTATGTTAACGACGTTTGATTTATATTTCACCTACTAGTTGCTAAAGATTGTATAGGTTATTTTCCCTCATGACCATACTAAGCTCAACCAACGACTTTTTATCAAACGAGGCGATCTCCTTGGGTCGAGGGTGGATCATCCTAACGGGTTACTTGAGTTTGATATTGATCGCCTACGAGAATATGCAACTTGTGCCCTCTGTCGTATGGACCTTACTCCCGCGACTTAAAGGTTCTCATGCTTAGCTGGCTTGTGGCTTCGATTGAGGGCCCAAGGGCGTTCGACGATATTCAATGACTTGATGTTTGCATTCCAACATAGTAGTAGAAATCGTAACTAGCTCACTTAACCCTATGCATTCTTGGCTTTGAAGGCAAGAAGCCCTCTTTCTATCCCCTGTTCTGGCGTAGCAATCGATTTAATGCACGGTTCCTACTATCACTATCATGTGAGCTTTGCCAGTGTCTACAATGCGAATTGGGATTGCAGCCTGGACGAGTCTATATGGAGAAAAACTGGTTGTTCATTGACATATGAGAATGGTGTAAATGCTGCAGCTGTGCTACTTATATCTCCCGTTGGACATCGGATGGTTATTGCTAATTTAGCAAGCCAATCACTTAGTCTGTCATCATGAAGCTATTCAGAGATCACCTAACTCTGACTTTCCTCTTACCCTATCCTTTGCATCACTGGTCAACAGAAAATGTCATCCACCGCTAAATCCTCTGCCTTTTCAAAGGCTAGTGCTCACGCATTAAGCTTTTGCTCAACATGATTAGCCTCCCATTCGGCGGCTCAGTATATGTGGATAGACATGAAATGCTGAAGCCATCCCACCGTGTTGGAGGACCAAATCTAGCCTACTCCCTGCATTTGCGACTATGCCCTCTTAAATGCGAGAGATCATACTAAAAGCATAAAACCACGCAGAGGGTATCCCCAAACAACTTTCACTCGAATTCATCATTTCGCCCGAAACTCTCAATTATTGCCCGATATCGCTAAACAGATTTTAGTAACTAACTACGGAGTAACTAACTAGTTAAACTAATGCCTAATGAATAAAGCACCTAGTGGGGAACAGATATCTTTGTCCACTTCGTGCTCCGTAGATAGATCTCCCATTCTCTCTCTTCCTACCCTGAAGAATCTGAACATGGTCCCTAAAAGCCCTCGTACATGCTATCCTCCTTATCCATATCGTACTCAGACTCTAGAGTTAATCACTCTTCTTTATGAGATCTGCCTAATACCGTCGAGCATGGTAGTACCATTATTAAAAGCATAGTGTAGATCAGGTGATCTCCAAATTCATGGTACGGTCGTAAGGCAGATATCTTAGACCGGAAGAAATGCTGCTGACGCTTCTTAGGCTTGTCTGTCAGTTCTTCTGCTCTACCTTGCTTTTCATAGTGGTGTACTATAATATGTGGCACTCGTACTGAAATTAATATGCATGGAGACTTCGCCTAATTAGGTTAGACCGCCGTACTCCGTAGTAAAATCGAGACTCGAGGGGACCCCTACCCTCATGCCAAGGCGGAGTTCAGCACCATTTGCCCCCCAAAAAAGGGCCCGAGGCCCCCTCGAATTTCATTTCAAGTCCTCAACTTTGAGCAGACAACATTCAATTTAATGTGTTGGACATAGTCCAGTGTGCTACAAGTATGTCTGATATACCTGAAGAGTAAGTCTTTGTTCCCCTCAGGTTGGCACTAGAAACTCTCGACCCATGGTTCGCATCATGACAGCGGGGATACCTTGGCTTCACTGCCTTGATATATCTGTCCTGAGCCTGCACCCTTTGAAGCAGTAACATACGGTGCCCACAGTGCAAAGTGTACGGATTTTACACACAATTTGTACTGACATGCCACTGTCTCGCAGGCACAAACACAAACGCTCTCGAAGCGCAATAGCACTTTCCCTCCTCCACCGCGACAAGTCCAAAGGCGAAGATAAAGATCCCGATAACAACGTAGACACCAACTCGCCCACCTCCGCCTCACCAAGCCCGGGCCCATTGAAACACACCCACAGCAGCAGCAGTCGCCATAGCCGTCGCAAACCAGGCCAGGACACGAGTTCGCCACCGGCCATTCAAGAATCCGCCGAGGATATGGACACAGTCGAAGACCTGCCTTCCTTGAATCAAATAGAGACTGGCAGCATGTCGCTCGAACAGTCCGTTCGCACCTTTCGTCTCTTCGAGATCTTGCGCAGCGGCGATACCACCGCTATCTCCAAGGCCATTAAGGATACCATCGACCCGCAGGGTGTGAGTTATCTCAACGGCACGACCGTCCTCCATTTGGCTTTGCAATGCGCCGAGCCCCAGGTCGTGGAATATGTGCTGTCCAACGCGGAGGATATCGATATCAACTCGCGAGATCGGGATGGAAACACCCCACTTCACATTGCTGCCCAGCTGGGCCGGGGCCCGCTTGTTCGCGATTTGCTAAATAGTCCGTCGATCAACGATTCCATTGTCAACTATCGCGGTCAGACGCCTCTCGATCTGGCCCGTACCCCGGAAATTTTCCAGCAGCTTCAGCTTGCGCGGTCTCTCTTCATCGATAGCAAGAACCAGGAAATTCAGGCTTTGATTAAAAACGCTGATTATAAGGGCTTGGAGGCTTTGCTGGAGGAACCTCGAGTGGAGGGTATTATGGATGTGAACAGCTACGACCTAGTTACCGACCCGACGACAGCCCAATCCGGCGGCACGCTTCTGCATGAGGGTGCTAGAAATAAAGACGCACAGCTCATTGAAATTCTTCTGACGCATGGCGCCGATCCGTTCCGCCGTGACAGGAAGGGGAAGCTACCGCAGGATGTTACCAAAGATGATAAAATCCGCGCTCTCTTGAAGAGATCACCCGCTGCTGCTATTGCCCAGCGCGGTATTCAGGAAAGGGCTATTCTCGGCAATAGTAATGCCCAAGGCCTTGCCGGGCGCGTTTCGATTGGTGATGCCCCGCTTGCCGGTAAGGATGCTCGCGAAATGAGAGGCTATCTCAAGAAATGGACCAATTATACAACGGGTTATAAGTTGCGCTGGTTCGTTCTAGAGGATGGAGTTTTGAGTTATTATAAACATCAGGGTAAGCTCACGGCTCATCTTCAGTTTCGCATCACCCCTCGTGCCGTCGACCCTACTAAATTTCTCTATAGACGATGCCGGCTCTGCCTGTCGCGGTGCCATTAACATGAAGATTGCTAGACTTAGCATGGACGCGCAGGATAAGACGCGTTTTGAAATCCACGGCAAGTCGTCGGTCAAATACCACCTTAAGGCCAACCATGTTGTGGAGGCAAAACGCTGGTTCTGGTCTCTCAACAATGCCATTCAGTGGGCCAAGGATGAAGCGAAGGAGGAGGAGCGTCAGCGGTCCAAGAACGCAGAAGTGCTTCGCCAGGCTAAGATCGATCACACAGAAGGACGTCCTACAGATACACCATCAGAGTCTGGCCTTTCTCACAAGCCTAGCACAAAGACTCTCGCTCCTCCGTCTTTGGGCGGTGGTAGCAGCAGTGGCACAAGGCTCAGTACATATGCATCTCGCACCACCCTAGATACTCCAGTTGGAGACGAGGACAGCTCCATTTATGGCGGTTCTTATGACCACGTCCCTGCTCCAAATGACATGAACAGAGTAGTCAGTCATGCCGCATCTACGCCGGAGGGGGAGGGCGATGATGAAGAATATATCGATTATGGTTCAAGTCACGATAACGACATCTCAGCCGCTGATAAAGACGCCCTCAATATCACCGCACAATCTGCGAAGCTTCAGTTGGATCTTCTTGCAAATGTGGCAGCCTCGCTACAAGCTGAGAAATCCAAGAATCCGCAAATGACCATCGCGGATCCAGCCCTCGAAGAGGCTCTCGGTGCCTACGAAGCCGCAGTCAGCAGCCTCAAGGGTCTAGTGCAGAATCTGCTGAAGATCTCACGGGACCGAGACTCTTATTGGCAGTCTCGTCTCAGTAGAGAGGAGTCCATTCGTCAGATGTGGGAAGAAAGCATGGCCCGCGTGGCCCGCGAGCACGAGGAGCTGCAATCCAAGATGGGCGAGTCCGAGGAGAAGCGGAAGCGGACTAAGCGGGCTCTGAAGGAAGCCCTGGAGAGCGCAACAGGCAGTAGCCGTTCTATCGTCGGTGGGACATCCCGTTTGCCAACAGAGAGACAGAGTCTTGAGGCCAACCAAATTGAAGCTGGGGCTACCGAGACAGATAAAGCAGAGCAGCCCACACAGGAACCATCCGAAGTACCCGAACTGTCTCGCAAACCATCAAACTACTCCGAGCTCAGCAGTCTCTGCGATTCAGAATCGGACGGAGAAGAATTCTTTGATGCTATTGATGCCGGTGAAATCGAGGTAGAGGATGTCAGCAATGCCAAGAATATCAATATGGAACCACCGAAAGACGAAAGTGCTGAGCTTCGGGCTGTGAAGAGTACCCTCATCGCACCCTCCTTTAAGGGTTACGAGGATCCCATCAGAGAGCGACTTAAGATGGATGCTGATGATCGGCCAAAGATTTCTTTATGGGTAAGCTGTGAAGTTAGCTTCTGTTTTTTTCTTTGCCAGTGCTAACCACAATCTTAGAGTATCCTGAAATCTATGATTGGAAAGGACATGACGAAGATGACGCTCCCGGTGTCCTTCAACGAACCAACTTCACTACTTCAGCGAGTGGCTGAGGATCTTGAATATACCGACCTCCTTGACATCGCTGCTGGTCGGGCCGATTCAATGGAACGCCTGGTCTACGTCGCCTCCTACGCCGCAAGTGAGTATGCTTCGACCATCGGCCGTGTCGCAAAGCCCTTCAACCCCCTTCTGGGTGAAACCTTCGAGTACGTGCGTCCGGACAAGGGCTATCGGTTCTTTGTGGAACAAGTTAGCCACCACCCACCGATTGGAGCTGCGTGGGCCGAATCGCCCAAATGGGACTACTGGGTAAGTGCATCCGATTTTGTAGGCGTATATCTGTTACCAGGGCTAACCAAAACTACGTATCTAGGGTGAATCCTCTCTCAAGTCCAAGTTCTATGGCAAATCCTTCGACATCAACCTGCTGGGCACATGGTTCCTGAAGCTGCGACCTTCCTCTGGCGGAGAAGAACTTTACACCTGGAAGAAGGTGACCTCGTCGGTCATTGGCATCATTACTGGTAACCCCACGGTGGACAACTACGGTTTGATGGAAATCAAGAAC